TTTGAAATGTTAATTAAGGTGTCCACTTACATATTCGGTTAATAATTTTTATTTGTTTAAACAAAATTACTTTGTTACAATATAATATTCTAATACCAAAAAAAGTACTTACGCAGCGTCAAAATATCTTTCGTGATGTAACTCTTTCAAAAGTACATAAAAATGGCTGCCAGCAGGGTTGTACATGTAGATTTATTAAATACACCTTGTGTGCCACCTAGGAACCAAATCTAGAACCCGACATTCAAAATTTTTGCTCTGTTACAATCGTACCCTGTTACAATTGACCCCACTTTCCCCTGTAATACTAAAAGAACTTCTTTTTTAAAAAATTAATAAATTGCATTGCTGTTAGCATTTTAAAATTACTTTACACTAGCATTGACTGTTTTGTATGGTTAAAAAATTTAATTGAACTTCAAAATGTCATTTTCCTGGCATGTCATAATGTCATTTTCCTGGCATTAATGCATAAAAGTGCAAATCACTGGTACACAAAATGATGTGAAAAGAAAAATCAATGAAAAATGTACATTTTGTGAATATTCAGAGATCTATTGTAAATAATTGTTAATTTTATTGTTTTCACCTTATTTTTTTATAACAATTTAGACAAAAATGTTTATTGATCATTGATAACATAATTATTTCATTTTACAAATGTTTTTTTATTAGTATTAAATATGACATAAAAATTAAATTGCTTAATTTAATTTGTCGAATTTCAGTTACATATGTTTTTATTATATAATTTGCTTTTTGTCTGATCGAAACTAAAATATTTTGTCAGTTGACAGTATTGAAGTTAATTGGGCAATTACTTGCAATGGTTTTTGTTTTTGAAATATTACTCAGCATCAACTTATTAATATTACATGTTTTAATTTGTTTGCCATATTTTAAAGTTTATTTTCATTAGGTTTTAATTGTTTTCAGTTTAAAATTTAAATTACTGGGGGGAGGGAGATGAAGCACCATATAAGGAGAGTCCGGCATCCTATAAGATCAACAATGATTTGAGTTAGGGGTAAAAATATACTTGAGGGTGCCCCTTGGCGAAATTGGCGACTCATGTTTCGCGCCATTTCTGTTAGCTCGGAACACCATGGTAACAGGAATGGCTGCCAAAATATAATGTTATTTTAATAGAACATTGGAAAATTCCAACAAAACATCGACCAAAACTTTATAAAATTGCAATGAACCCGATATGAGCAAAATTAATAAATCCAATAAATTGCATTTTGAATCGAAACAAAAATTAATGGAGTAAGCACAGAAGGAAAATTAAAAAAAAAACAATACACTTCTTCGTTAAGCTTGAATGTTCTCAGATTTAGGTGCACTGAATTCTCTAATAGCAGTTAGATACTGTCTAAATTTATCATGAATAGAATCTGTGTACCTCCATCGCCATATAAATTCGGCGAAAGACGAATCGAAAATGGCGTCTGTGGTACCGGATTGGAGATGACATTTTTTTCTGAAGTCCCTTTTTATGACTGCCCGCATACCTTCGATCTTATTGACCAGAAGCAAAAGTAACCTTACCAGCCGGTATCCAACGTAGAACTAACGGACCTCTGAAATTACATATACCGTTGAACATTTAAAAATAACGCTAAAATCTAAATCTAGCAGAATCACGATTAGGTTTCAACATCGCCCAACTTGGCGATCACAACTCTGCCACGCGTGTTTCGGATATGGAGATTAATCTTCGGCTAATGCCCTATAGTTATGTATTAAATAATATTGCTTCCTCGCTTTATATAAGTTTATATTATTGTTTGTATTAAAATTGCTTTATATACGTTTATAATGCTGATAATAAGGACCTCTGACATTTTACAATCCTATCATATTCTCCCTATGTGATGTTGGTGATGATGATGTTGGTGGTCAGGAGATAGAGCGCTCGCCTTCCAGTGCGTTGAACCTGGTTCGAATCCTAGCGATGGCTGGTCGATACGAATCCCGCACCCGGCTCCCACCGACCACAGAGCTGATGTAAAATATCCTCAGTGGTAGACGGATCGTGGGTTAGAGTCCTCTTGCCGTCTAGCTAACCATGAAGGGTTTTCATGGTTTTCCTCTCCATGTAACGCGAATGCGGGTTAGTTCCATCAAAAAGTCCTCCGCGAATTTCTTCCACTGAACCTCCCCTATCTTCTGAATTGGATTCAAAATGACAAGAACATTAGAAGTCGTGAACCTAAAAGATTGGGTCAGCTGTTTGGTTATAATATAAAATAATGGTGTTGTTGAATGGTGCGGAGTAATAAAATGAAATTTTTAGTGAAGTAATTGAAATGTGTTTATTTCAGAAGTACAGGTATGATGAAGATGAACCCCTCAAAGATTTCAGTGGCCTGGATGGTCTACCTCGCTCTCTTCTCGAAGGAAGGGCAGGGTCAGAATTACCCAGTCTTCCCGAATCTCCCAGGAGGGTAAATTTTCTTTCCCTTTTTTTTTACGTTACCATATATCTATATATAACCCTTCACAAAATATCTTTTCATAAAAACGCAGATTCGTTTATCTTTATTATTGTTTTGTTAATCCCAGGAAGAGGGAGAAAGAAAGACAAATGCAAATTTTGTCTTCGGCAGAAGCCTCTTCCTTTTTTCGTCCGAAATGAATATTCTGCGTTCAGCAGTATAGGCTAAATACCAAATATTTGTATGTTGCATCTCTAATTTAGTAGCCGCAATTGCTGTTTATTTTTAAAAATTAAAATTTTTTTAAATTATAATTTTACAGTGTTGAGCATAATCTTGTATGTCTTTACAATTTAAAACTCCGTGAAGAAGCTTTTTGCAATAACAGGACCCTATTTGCACAAATTCTCAAACTCAAAACCGGACCCTGGTTGAAAGAATGTGACTTAACGTTTATTTTATATTCACAAATTACGAGTAATTTTTTCACAATCTTACGAAAACGGACAACAAAATGTCAAGACATGAACAAAATGTCTGGACAGACCATTGAGTATATATCAAGGGTCTGTCCAGACATAATATATATATATA